GAGCAGCTGAGGCAGGCCACCCGCGTCCTGCAGGAAATGAGAGACTCCGGGGAGCCCAGCCCGGGTGCCCCTGGGCTCAGGGAGAAGCGGAAGGAGCTGGTGACCCTGTACAGGAGAAGTGCCCCCTAAGGCCTGCCAGCCGGAGGCATGGTCCCTCCTGGCCGCCCCGTCCGTCAGAGCCCAGCCCGGCCCAGGAATGTGCTTCTGCTCAGCTGTGAGGGCCCCTGGGCACATCAGGGCCAGGACCTGAAGGGACTCCTGGTGTCCTTCCCGCCCTGCCCACCGGTGGTGCCAGGTGCCCCCGGGACCGCAGTCTGGCCATCTGGCCTGGCCTCCAGGTGCTGAGCTCGGCTGGAAGCACACACCCAGGACCTCCATGCTTGCCACAGGGTCTTGGTGCAGCACTTGGGGTTTCTGGGGTGACCTCATCTGCCCCTACCCCGAAGGTTTACATTCCTGACTTCCGAGCAGAGCACAGCTGAGCCCTGTAACCCTCGTCTCCAGAGGATCCCAGCAGAATGCCTCAGGGCAGGGCCGGCCCCTCCCACAGAGCTGCGAGGCCTTGGGTCCAGGCCTGTAGCTCAGCTGGGTGACAGTGGGACCCAGCTGGGGCCTCTTGAGGCAGGGGGAGGTGCCCATGTGAGGAAGCTGGGCCACTTCCCTCTGCCCTCTGCCCCCCACTCCCAGAAGGGCTGCCCCACAGCCGCCCAGGAACCAGCCTTTGCTCCGCCCTCCTGCCTGGTCCGCACCTGCGCCCTGGTCCTCCCGAGCCACCTTGCCCCTGTCTCAGCCCCAGCTCATTCGGTCCCCATCCGAGGCAGTCTGCTCTGGGCTCTGGGTTAGGCCCTCTTCCTGGGCCTGTGGGAGGGAGCACGGCTCTGGACAGGAGCTGCCCCTGCCTGGGTTCCGCATGTGCACTTTTGTTTACTGGAGAGGAGGGTCACCGCAGCAGGCCCTGCCCTCCCAACGCACCCCTGCCGCCAGTGCTCACTGAGCCTGCCGTTCGATGCCTAATTGCTGCCACTTCGTCCTGGAGGGCATTGGGCAGGATTCATGAGGGACAGCTGTCCACTCTGGTCCGCACTAGCCAGGGCAGATGTGGGTGGCAATGCCACAGCTCATGTTCCCCCTTGGGCCTCCCCATACACTCCCTAGACAGACTGCCACAGTCTGCCTGTCCCTCCCTCCATGTCTAGTTCTCAAGAATGTCATGGGACTCACATCACGTGATCCCTGCCATCCTCTCTTGGGGAACAGCCTCCCAGCAGCCAGACTGGCCGGGACTTTAGCCAAGTCACCTGCTCCAGCAGTCAGAACCTCAGTGTCTTCCTCTGTCAAGTGACCTGGCTGGGCAAGTAGCCGTGTGGCCTCCTCAGTGGCCAGATCCCATCAGCTCCCGTGGGGCTCCCATGCCTTGGCAGCCCGGGCCCCCAAGGGAAGCTGGGACTCACAGTGGCTGCCTGCCGGCCTCCTTGGAGGGTGGTGTTCAGTGTCTTCCGCTTATGAAGCGTCCTTGAAGTTTGGCAATAAATCCCTTTTTACAGAATCCTGTCTGAGCCCGTTTGTTGGCCTGGGGGCTGGCTGGCCTGGAGGAGCAGAGAGTAGGAGGGGGTTGTTCAGTGGCGTCTCCAGTTGCCCAAATTCAGTTCCCGGAGCCCCGTCCACAGGTCCGTCGGGACGTTGCCCGCCCCTAGTGCTCCGTCCTTGCAGAACCCAGCCTTGTCACGTCACCCTGGCCCCTAGCTTTTGAGTGCCAGGAGCCACGCTTTTTAGTTTTCAAAACTATTTGGAAATCATTTCAAACTTAGAGAAAAGTTAGAAGAATAAGAATAGTACAAAGGGGACCAGTAGTTGATGTATTGACTACGTCGCTGAACTCCCATGTAGTTGGCCGTGGTTCGAGTCCTGGACCTGGTGGTTTAAACTCATGCCGGTGCATGTGCGTGCATGCCCAAGATCCCGAGAGGAGAATGGAGAAGGGATTGCGGTGTGACCATCCCCCCTAGAGGTGATTTCTTACTTTCTGTCTCTGTCTCTCTTTCTGGCGAGCACATGCACCCTATAGCAAAAACCTCTCAAAAAGAAAAAAGAACACCCATGTACTCTTTACCCATGTTGACCCATTGCTTTATCTTTTTTAAAAAAAATTATTATTTTATTTAACTTTATTTATTTTTTTTTTTTTTTAATTTGATATAAAGTGGAATTATTGTATTATTTCACTTTATTTATTTACCTTAACACAGAGAAAGAGAAAGTGAGAAAGCAAGCAGCCAGGTCTGGGACTCGAACCTTGGTTGGCCATATGGGAGTTCAATGCCACCTGCCAACCCCCTGTTGTTTTATTTTTTGAGAACATTCTATCTCTTGTATATATATGTACTTTTTTTCCAAATCATTGGAAAGCTCAGTTACCCAACCCAGCCCAATGGCACAGTCCGTAGTGTACTGGGCTGCAGTGCAGAGAGCTGTGAGGCTCACTGAAGGTTCAGATCCCCAGGTGGGCTTGAAATCATGCCAGGCGTAGGTGCGTGTGCCCGAGCTCCTGATGAGCCAACGCTGGGGAAGGGGGATGGTGGTGTGATGAGACCCTGTCAACGTGCCTTCTCTCTCTCTCGTGTGTATGTGTGTACTCTCATGGCCCCTTACCTCTAAATACATAGTGTGGACAAAGCCACTTCAAAAAGTTTGTGGGAAAGGGACTTACGGACCAGCCCCGTGGTGCCGGCAGTAATGCACTGCTCAACACACACTGCCCGAGGTCCGACAGGCTGGAGGGCCAGAGGAGAGGCATCGTGTGTGGCCGGACTCTGTGGAGGTGTTCATCTCTCTCTTCCATTCTCACATGCATCCTTACTGTCTCTCTGGCAAGAGCTCATGCCCTCTGGCAAGTTAAAAAAAAATGAATTAAAGTACAATTTGTTTTGGTACAAAAAAATTGAAATTCATATGTACTTTTTTCATAATACACATTTTCTGTGGACTTTAAAAATTATTATTTATTAGTATCCTTATTTTGTTTGCTATAGTGCACATGCGTTCACCAGAGAGAGGCAGACAGAGAGAGAGAGAGAGAAGGAAAGTGAGAAAGCAAGCCACCAGGTCCAGGACTTGAACTGTGGTCAGCCATGTGGGAGTCCAGTGCCTTAACCCCCATGCCACCTGCTGGACCCTTCCATGGACTTTTTGAAGACCCCCCATATGTCCTAAAAACAAATATGTTCTCTCATGTAATCATAGTACAGTTATCAGTGTCAGCAAATTAGTTTTTTAGAGAGGTTTTTGCTGTAGGGCGTGTGTGCTCACCAGAGAGACAGAGACAGAGAGAAAGCGAGCGAGGAGTGGGGAGAATGGCCACACCACGATCCCTTCTCCGACTCTCTCCTCTTGGGATTTTGGGCACACATGCACATGTGCCTGGTGTGAGTTTTAAGCCACTGAGCCCATGACTGACACCACGGTGGACTATGTGGGAGTCCAGCGACAACCATTCTGTCATCGGCCAGTCCCATTGTCTGTAAATTTAATAGTTTATTATTCATATCCCAATTTTGCCATTTGACCCAATAATATACTTCACCGTATTTTTCCCTGGGTTAGGGTCAGATACTGCATGGAGCTGTCATCTCGCTCCAGCCTCCTTAATCTGAAACATTTCCATAGCCTTTCTTTGTCTTTCATGGCATTGACGATTTTGTTTTTTTATAGACTTTTGCCATAGCGCACACATGCTCGCCAGAGAGAGACAGAGAGAGAAAATGAGCAATCACTTCCCCGGGGGGATGGCCACGCGGCAGTTTTTTCTTGGGATTTTGGGCACGCATGCGTGTGCCTGGCGTGTTAATCAAGCTGCCAGTCCAGACTCGAACTACGCAGTTGGCCTATGGGACCCAGCACCTTAACCACTATACCGCTTGCTGGCCTCAACATTGACCATTGAAAAAAATACATATTTAATTTTATTTATCATCATGATTTTTTGAGGGGGCGGGGAGAGGTTTTCACTATAGGGCGCGTGCGCTCGCCAGACAGAGAGAGACAGACAGAAAGTGAGAAATCACCCCCCAGGGAGGATGGCCACACCGCAATCCCTTCTCCTCCATTCTCCTCTCGGGATCTTGGGCATGCATGCACACGCGCCCGGCGTGAGTTTAAGCCACCGGGTCCGGGACGCAAACCGTGGTCGCCTACCTGGGAGTCCAGTGATATAGTCATTACGCTAACTGCTGGTCCCAATCATCATGATTTTTTAAAAAGTTATTTTATTTAACTTTATTTATTTAATTTGACCAGAGAGTAACAGAGTGAGGGGGTAGGAGTGGAGTGTGAAAGCAAGCCGCCAGGTCTGGGACTCAAACCACAGTCGGCCATCTGGGAGTCCAGCACCCTTACCCACCATGCCATTTGCTGGCCCCTCATTGAGATTTTTAAAAAAAGAATTATTTTATTTAACTATTTATTTTAATTCGACCATAGAGGTACAGAATGAGAGAGAGAGAGTGAGAAAAAGCAAGAAAACAAGCTGCCAAGTCCGGGATTCGAACCACGGTTGGTCATGTGGGAGTCCAGTGAGCATCCTTAACTACCATGCCACCTGTGGACCACTTCATTGTGATTTTTATTTATTTATTTATTTTTACCGGACATTCATTTAATGAGGGTTCTCCTCTACTCCCCCAATATCCCGTCCCCACTCCAAACAAGTCACTAAACAATAATTAATGTATTAATTTTACCAGAGAATTAAGTAAACCTCAGATAATAGATCCAAAGCCAAAATAATTTTGCAGAATTAGAATGTGTTCAAGAAACACTGGATGAGACTTCAGCACGTGGACGGCCGTGTTTCTCCAGACAGCCTTCATTTAGGAAGAGCCCGTTCCTCCAAACGTGAAGAACCGGAAGTGCACTTTCTTCTCAGTCACCGAGGAAATGCCCTCTCCTGATGGGCTGGCACTGTTTCCTTTGTGTTGCTCTTTTCCCTTCTCCTTTCCGTGGTTTCCCCTTTCCATGAAGCTGCTTTAAACGCACTTGCTCACCCTTAAAATCTTGATGCTCATCTCTGTAGAGGCCAAGAAATCGAAGTGTCCTCATGAATGCAATGAGGTGTCGTGACTTGGATACCAGTCATAGCTCTCCCTCCTCTTGGCCAAAGGCTGTTCGTTGAACAGTGTCACCACTTTCATGGATTTGGAATCAGTAGGCCTGGCGACTTCCCCAGACGGCCGGCCACTCAGACGACTCATGCGCAAGGCATATCCTGGAAGTGAAGACATTTCTTAAGCAGCAAAGTGCCAGAGTCCTTCTGTGCGCAACCTTCCTCACCTACCCATTGTGATTTTTAAAAAAATAATGATTTTAGGGACCAGCAGTTGGTGTAATGGCTATGTCACTGGATTCCCATGTAGCCAACCACGGTTCGAGTCCCGGACCCAGTGGCTTAAACTCACGCCGGGCACGTGTGCGTGCGTGCTCAAGATCCTGAGAGGAGAAAGAAGAAGGGATTGCGGCGTGACCATCCCCTCTGGGGGGGGTGATTTCTCACTTCCTGTCTCTCTGTCTCTCTCCTTCTGGCGAGTGCACGCGTCCTTTAGCAAAAACCTCTCAAAAAAAAATTATTTTAGGGGCCGGCAGGTGGCATGGTGGGTAAGGTGCTGGATTCCCACATGGCCGACTGCTGTTCGAGTCCCAAACCTAGCGGCTTGCTTTCTCACTTTCTCTCTCTCACTGTCTCTCTCTGGTCAAAATAAATAAATAAATGGATATATAAAGTGGAATTATTGTATTATTTCACTTTATTTATTTACCTTAACACAGAGAAAGAGAAAGTGAGAAAGCAAGCTGCCAGGTCTGGGACTCAAACTGTGGTTGGCCGTGTGGGAATCCAGTGCTCTTAACCACCATGCCACCTGCTGGCTCCGTCATTATTATTTTAAAATTTGCTACAGGGCAGACACTCTCACCAGAGAGACAGAGAGAGAGAGAGAGAGAAAGTGAGAAAGCAAGCTGCCAGGTTCAGGACTTGAACTGCTTTCAACCACCTGAGAGTCTACTGCCTTCACCACCACACCACCTGCTAGCACCACACTGACAGTTCAGAAGATTTTTTTTTAATTGCTAGGGCGACGTGTGTGCTTGACAGAGAAACAAGAGAGGGACTAGCACCCACAGTGAGGCATGGCCATGCTACAATTTCTTCATCTGTCCATCCTTTCGGGGTTGGGGACATGCACATACACCAGGAATATTTCTCAAGCCCCTTAGGCCTAGATTCAAACCAAGGTTGGCCATGTGGGAACCGCCCCTTAACCACTAGGTGATGGGGCCAGTCCGGTCCCATGTTTTACAGGTGCTTCTTCATTTGGGTTTGTGTGGCGTTCCCTCGTGATTATATTGAAGTTGTGGATATTCAGCTGGAAAACTACACAGGCAGGAACATGGGGTCTTTCTCTGGTGACCACCGCTGGGGACAGAACATCCATCTGCCCCTCATTAGCAAAGCTTGTTTTAATCACTTGGGCAAAGTATCTAGTTTTCTGCTATACAGTTGATGTGTGTGTGTGTGTTTCATTTTTTCTTTTCTCTGCAACTAATAAACAATCTGGGGGGAACATCTTTTTTGTTTTGTTTTTTTTTTTTTTTTGAGAAGTTTTCGCTATAGGGCACGTGCGCTCGCCAGACAGAGAGAGACATAGAAACAGAAAGCGAGAAATCACCCCCCAGAGGGGATGGTCACACCGCAATCCCTTCTCCTCCATTCTCCTCTCGGGATCTTGGGCACGTATGCACACGCGCCCAGCGTGAGTTTTAAGCCACTGGGTTCGGGACGCGAACCGCGGTCGACCACGTGGGAGTCCAGCAACTTAGCCATTATGCTAACTGCTGGTTCCCTGGGGGGAATATCTTAAGACCATGCACAGATATGTCACACCTCGCCACAGTTTCCCCCAAGTTAGTACCCATAGATCATTCTTGCTGAACGGATGTTTCCTGTAGTGGTTCCAGGATGATCATTCCAGCTGGTTTTGTTTTGTTTTCCTTAGAGGGTGTGTGCGCTCACTGGAGAGAGAGAAAGAGAAGGCACCCCCATGGGAATGGTCCCGTGGCCATCCTTTCTCCACCCCCACCCCGGAGATTTGGGGAATGTACACATGCATGCCCAGCGTGCTTTTCAAGCTGCCGGATCCAGGACCTGTGGGAGTCAGCCTCCTTAGCCCCTGTGCCACCTGCTGCCCAGGTCCAGCTGTTACCTTGTCCTCAGAGCCTGGCTGTGGTAAGAGTGAGCCTGGGCCCTGTCTATGCCTGTGGCCCCTCGCCCCCCATCTCAGTGGAGCCCTGGGGCTTCCCTGAGCATTCTTGAGACATCCCTGGGCCAGTGGACAGAGCTCCAAGTCGGGCTGAAAGCTTCAAATGTCACCCAGGGACTCGGGGTGCACCTAGCCTCAGGGGTCTCAGTTCCCGCTGCCTCATGGAAGAAAGCACCGCTGTGCAGGCTCCCTCCTGCGGCCTCTGGACAGGCCTGATAGCACAACAGGAAGCACCTGCCCGAGGCCTGTCCACTGTGCTGTGGCTCCGCGACCCTCCTGCACTCTCCTGCATGGCCTGGGCTGCCAGGACTGCTGAGTGGGTGGGTGGCCTGCAGGAGTGAGGCACTTGGCTGCCAAGGCCCCTTCATCTGAGAGGAATCTTTACTGATGGGTGCCCTCCCCCACGCTGGCCCAGGAACTGGGTTCCCTCTGTAGGGCCACCTCGAAGGAGCAGCTGCCAGGACAGTGTCGG